GAAGAAAATTTTCCTTGTCGTCGCTGTGTTCGCCCGCGTCATTCTGCTCACCGCACCTGTAGCCGGCTCTGTGGTATACTCGTGCAGGCACGGCGGAGCGACATCAAGGAAGAAGAAAACCACAAGCGGGTGCGACTGTGCGAGGCCAACGCCCTGCCGTACTTTCTCGATCAGTCGCTCATCCACCATCCCGGGCCACAGCGGGGCGAAGCCTGCTTGTCACGCGGAGTTCAATGGTCGACAAACCCGCGTAGACGCGCTAATGCGCTGCCGACGGCGCCGGCTCCCCGTTCCAACGCAAAAATGGCCGCTGAGTCGGCACAGCTGCCTACGCAGGGATCGGACTGGCCGCCTACTCTCAACGCTTAAGACTGACGCGGTGCATCAGCTGGCCAGGAGTGCTCTAGGAGTAAGTGGGCTAGCTCAGCCTGCTCTGGCCAGCGAGGTGTCATAAAGATGGGTGGGTGGAAAAAGACGTCGCTCTGTGTGTGAGAGATCAAAATGCAAGAACTGGCCCGATGTCTTAGAAGGCACCTTTTAGGATAGCATGCGGGTTATATATTATCGAGTGACGGCGGCAAAACACGTTCTGAAGGAATTAGAAACGCGAATACATTTATGTGACAAATACGAAACCGGTTCAACAATCAAGAATTCGACAGTTTCCCGCTTTCCCTTCATCCCCTTTTTCTTTCCCCCGGTCCCTAACTTACTACTTGATCCCAACCCTCACCACCCCTTGCTTCCCAGTGTTTTACCAAACTCGTCCCCCTCCACCCTTTCTCTCACTTTCTACTTGCACCACCCTCCACTCTTTCTCTCATTTTCTACTTGCCACCCACCCTCAAACTCTTTCTCTCATTTTCTACTTGCCCCGACCCCTCAAACTCCGTCCTATTCCCAACATCTTACTTGCGCGACTCCCTCACCACTTTCTTTCTTAACCACATCTTACTTGCCCTCAATCACGACCGCTTTTCTTCCACATCTAATAGCTTTCCCATCCTTCACCCCTTTCTTCACATCTTACTTGGCCCTCCTTCACTCTTTCTTCCACATCTTACTTGCGCCTCTTCACCCTTTCTTCACTCTTACTGCGCCCCTCCTTCACCCTTGTCTGTTCTCTTTGTCTTCCGACAATCTTACCTGTCTGCCCTTGCCCTTCAACAACGCCTTTCTTTGCTCCACAATCTTACTTGCTCCCTTCAACCCTTTCTTCGCACATCCTTACTTGCCCTCCTTCACGCCATCTCTTGTCTTCCACACTCTTACATACTGCCCTCGACATACTTCCAACGCCTTTCTTCCACATTCTTACTTCGCCCTCCCCCTGCTACAACCGCTTTCTTTCATTCCACATCTTTACTTTGCCCTCCTTCATTCAACCCCTTTCCTTTACTTCACACAATCTTACTTATGACCCTCCTTCACCCTATTCTTTCTTCCGACATCTTACTTGGCCACTCCTCACACACAGGCATTCTTCCCACAGTCTTACTCTCCCCTCCATCACACCTTTCTTACGCACATCTGTACTTTGCCGTGCCTTTCACCCTTTTCTTTCTTCCAACATCGTTACTTGCCCTCCTTCACCCTTTCTCCACATCCTTATCTTGCCGCTCCTTCACCCTTTCTTTCTTCCACATCTTACTCTGCCCTCCTTCACCCATTTTACTTTCCTTCCACTATCTTTACCTTGCCGGACTCCTCACCCTTTCTTTTTCCACAAGTCTTAACTTGGGCCCGCAATCCCTTCGGACCCCTTCATTTCGCTTCCACATTCAATCCTGACTTGCGGCCCTCCTTTCAACCGCCTGTCCTTCTTCTTCTCGCACATCCTTCAGCGTGTTCTCGCGTCCATTTGCACGACCTTTCTTCCAAACATCTTACTTGGCCCTACCTTCAACCCTTTCCTTTCCACATCATTCACGTTGCCCATCCTTCACCCTTGTCTTTCTGTCCACCACTCTTAACTTGCCCTCCTTCACCCCCTTTCTTTTCTTCCACAATCTTACATGCCCTCATTCACCCTTTCTTCACATCTATACTTGGCCCCTCCTTACCCTTTCTTCCACATCTTACTTGCGACTCCGTTCTCCTTTCTTTCTTCCACATCTTACTCTGCGCCTCCTTCCCCTTTCTTCGCACATCTTACTGTGCACGTCCTTCTCCCTTTCTTGTCTTCCACAATTTTACAATGCTCAATTCACCCATTGTTCTTCCACATCTTTGGACTGCCAGCATCCTTCCGACACCTTTCTTCCACATCCCTTACTTGCCACTCCTTCTCCCTTTCTTTCTGTCCACGATGCGTACTTGCCCCTCCTATCACAGTCCTTTCACTTCCACGTCTTACTTGCACTCCTGTCTCCCGATTTCTTTCTTCCACATCTTACTGTGCGCTCCATTACACCCTTTCTTCATCATCCTTTACTTGGCCCTCATTCACCTTTCTTCCACAATCTTACTTGCCCTCACTTCCACCTTTCTTGCCACATCTTACTTGGCCCTCCTATCACACCTTTCTTTTCTTCCACATCTTACTTGGCCCTACCTCACCGGCACCGGACCTTTCTTCGCACATCTTACACCCCATCATTCACGACGAGTGAGAGAAAGGGTGGAGGGGGACGAGTAGAAAGTGGAAGCAAGGGTGGAGGGTGGGGCAAGTAGAAAATAGACGAAAGGATGAAGGAAGGGGAAACTGTCGGAATTCTTGATTGTTGAACCGTTTCGTATTTTCACATAAATGTATTCGCTTTGGATTCCTCGAAGGTTTGATGCCTCACATGATAATATATAACCCGCATGCTACCTAAAGTGCCTTCTAAAGACATCAGCAGTCTGCATTTTGATCTCTCACACAAGACGACGTCTTTTTCCACCCACCAGCTATGACACCTCGCTGGCCAGAGCAGGCTAGCTAGCCCACTACCTCCTAGAGCACTCCTGCAGCGATGACACGCGTCACGTTAGCGTGAGAGTAGGCGGCCAGTCTCGATCCCTGGTAGGCCAGGTGCGACTCAGCGGCCATGTTTGCGTGCGACGGGGAGCGGCGCGCGCACGCCATTAGCGCGTCTACGCGGTTGTCGACCATGAATCCCGTGACAAGCAGGTTGGTGATGGTGATGAGGACGATGAGAAGTACGGAGGCGTTGCTCCACATGTCGCACCGCTTCTGGTATTTCTCTTCCTTGATGTCGTGCCGTGCTGCAAGAAACACAAGCAGCTAGGTGACGGTGAAGGAATGACGCGGGAACACCAGCGACGACAATGACAAAGACAGTAACAAAGACAATGACTACGTCGACAACGACAGCAATAACAACAATAGTAACGACGACAGTAACAACCACAATAACGATGACGAAACGACAGCAATAACAAAGACAGCAACAAAGACAATAACAATTAGAATGACGCCGAAAACGACAGCAATAACAAAGCCAGCAACAAAGACAATAACAACGGCAATAACAGAGACAGTAACGACAATAACAACGGCAATAATAGAGACAGTAACGACGACAATAACAAAGTTAATAACAATGGCAATAACAACAGACAATAACAACGGCAATAATAACGACAATTAACAACGAAAGTAACAGTGAAAATAACATGAACAATGACGACGAGAATAACGATCAGTATAACGACTAAACTGACGATGGTGACAAACTTACGGGACACGCTTACGTACCTGTGTACATGAGTACGATGGCAACTAACACCTGTAGCGCCATCGAAATGGACAGCATCGCGATGAGAAAGTAGTAGAACTCCTGGAAGTCTGGCCCGGATCTCATCACTGTCCGAAGCTGTGATCACGAGGGAAGGAAGCCACGTTAGTACACAGACACGCATAAACTTTGATTTATAAACAGATACACGCGCATATAGCGATAATCCGAGAGATTTCTTAGCATAGAGATTATAGCCAATCAACTACATTACATAATTAACTATCGTGATCCATAAACAGCTCTCAATTGGTCGCCATTGGTTAGGTTAGCCCTAAAGAATGACATAACGGCGGTTACGCCGTGCATCGCGTACACATTCTATATTTATGCTTATAAGAGAAATACAGGGTATATGTCTGTGTAGCATTTGCTAACATCGTTTCGAAGAAAGTGGTGTCGCGAATTGCCTGAAATAGCTATCTATCGGTCCCCACTGAATTTACTAAATATGTCGCTGAGCTAGCCTTAAACAGTGCCTGCAAGTGCTGATACTGTCAACATATGTATGGATCATACGTAACATTCTACACCGGGTACATTCTGCTCATGTTTATATAGGACAGAAATGCAGTAGGCCCTACCTGCGTAACATTTGCTGCGAAGGTGGAGAGGTCCATCAAGCCGATACCAAGCGTCTTCTTGTTCGCATACATGTTAACGTCCATGCGTCCCTTGCCAACCGATGGTGCCTATATCGGAAAGGACACACACATCGTTAACATTTACATACATTTTTAGTCGTGTATACGGAGAATCTACGCGTGCGCGCGTGCGTGGCCAGGTGCGTGCGTGGGCTTGTGTGCGTGTATGGTTGTCTGTGGGCGTGAGGTTTAGATTGATTTGTTTGTTTGTTTGTTTACTTATTCAATTCCTTATTTACTTAGCAATGATTTTCATGCTGATATATAACGAGCATTTTTACCGTCCGGTACCGAGCTACGACTCACCTGCGGTATTGCTGTAATGTATGAGGGAGGGTACATCCCGGAACTCCCAACAAAATATGGACCTGGGTAAAGACCATTGCGAGGATCATAGCCTCTCGGTTCACGGCCTCCCCACTCCGGACCTCCCGTGTCTCCTCTCTCTCCTCCTCCGCCGCCGTGTCTCCCCCCGTCCCCGCCTCGCCTCGTGTCATCTCTCTCATGATGACTCCCTCCCATATCGTGGTCGTGATCACGGTCATGTGCCCTTTCTGGAAGATCTGGATAGTGCGCTATTTCCGGACGTCCATTGGCTGTCTCAGGTTGTCTGTCTGATGTCTCTGGTTGTCTGTCTGTTGTCTCTGGTTGTCTGTCTGTTGTCTCTGGTTGTCTGTATGTTGTCTCGGGTTGTCTGTATGTTGTCTCTGGTTGTCTGTATGTTGTCTCAGGTTGTCTGTATGTTGTATCGGGTTGTCTGTCTGTTATCTCTGGCTGTCGAGGCGCTATGTCAGGGCGTCTCTCTGAGGCAGGTTGAGGAAAGGTTGCTCGCCTCGGTACCTCCGGCCTATCAGCAACTTCAGCGTTGCTGTTGGTTCCTAGAAAGATATATACGTATGTGTGTGTGTGTGTGTGTGTGTGTGTGTGTGTGTGTGCGTGCGTGCGTGCGTGCGTGCGTGCGTGCGTGCGTGCGTGCGCGCGCGTGTGTGTATACGTATATTTATGTACACGTATATGTATACATAATTAAAACGTAATTTATAAGACAAAACTGCGGCTATAACATACACACGCGCGCGCTTTTTATGGGGAAGTGTGTTGACTGGTTTGGGTTAAAGGCTCGACTTCTTGTATTTAAATGGGATTTACACTTACACGCCAGGACAACGCGAGGCGGCGTGATTGTGTGATAATGACTAGGACGTACGTTCCGGCACGGCTATGGGAGCCATCTCCATGTAGTGCGGTCGGCGCTCGTGGTCGTCATGGGACTCATGGCTGGGGATGACGTCAGACGTCGGGATCGGTACGTAGCGTGGGTGGTCGGTGAAAGACATTATACCAGCGGATCCGTACTAGCCACAGCAAGGCGCCCTATATTACACACGTGTGCTTTATTATTATTAATGTTTTTAATTATTATTATTATTATTTGTCATTATCATTATCATTATCATTATCATTATCATTATCATTATCATTGTCATTATAATTATCATTATCATTATCATTATCATTGTCATTGTCATTATCATTATCATTATCATTATTATTATTATTATCATTATTATTATCCTTATCATTATCATTATCATTATCATTATTGTTATTGTCATTATCATTATTATTTTTATTATTATTATCATCATCATTATGGCTACTATATTAATGCAACTGTACGTAAAAAAGTATCGAATTATGGAAGAACTAAGGTACAGCAATGCATATTACCAAGAGCCCATTAACCCCTCTTAATGGGTTAATGGGCTCTTGATATTACCTACTGCATTTAGCTTAATTGATATCTACACCGTACAACGAAGAGAGGGTCCGCCTTCAAAGATATACCACCGATAGGTACGCGCATGCGTAAACTATATCCGGCTTGCGAGCTTTAAAATTCGTTCTCAGAATGTGAGAACCTAGCTTCTACGCATTAAGCACGTTGTAGTTCTGTGCCTCGCTAAACGCGTGTGCGCTTGCCGCTTGCTATATCGATGGATACGCTCTACTCCTTCACCTGCGATATGACAACAGCTGATTTGGTTCAGTCTATAGTATAGTAATATATATATGCGCGCACACACACGCACCCACCCACCGACGCACGCACGCACACACACACACCGCGCGCGCGCGCACGCACGCACTCGCACGCACGCACGCACGCACGCACGCACGGCGCGCCACACATACACACACAATTCACACACGCACGCACGCACGCACCCCCCCGCCGCGCGCAACCACACACCACACACACACACACACACACACCACACACACACACACACACACACACACACACAAACACACACCACACACACACACACACACACAACACACACACACACACACACCACACACACACACACGACCACACCACGACCACACGCACAACCACACACGCACACACACACACACACACGCCACACACGCACCACACACGCCACACACACAACACACACACGCACACAACACACACATACACACACAGCACACACACACACACCCACACACAACACAACACACACACACACACACACACACAACACACCACACACACCACGCACACACACGGGCGGTTCGTAAGTTACTTCGTAAATCAATTTATGTCTGCATGTATATACAATATCAATTCATACGTACCACACGCAATGTTCGCACGCAGTCACTGCTTGCTTATTCTAGAGACACGTTCACAGAAGCAACGATGAGAACCACGACGTACACATCTAAGACACGCACAGACACGTTTGCAAGGCAAATGCCTCTCTTCCTATATCTCACTCTCTTTCCCTCTCTCTCTCTCTTTCTCAATCTCTCTCTCTCTCTGTTTCTCAATCTCTCTCTCTCTCTGTTTCTCAATCTCTCTCTCTCTCTCTCTGTCGATGCCTCTCGCGCGCGTTCGCTCTCTATATAATTCTCTCTTTCTCTCTCTCTCCCTCTTTCTGCCTCTATTTCTCCCCCTCTCACTTTCTCTCTCTCTCTCTCGGTCGCACGCTCCCCCTATCTACAAGCCCATTCGTCAGCCCGAGTGTGTCCGTGAGTCTGTCTGCTCGTGTGTGGGTAGTTGTATTGTCTGGGCTCAGCCGACTAGAACTGAGCAAAATATGCGGCATGCGTAGTAGCAGGTTTACGGAACTCACTGTAGCTACCTATCGGGTGATGCTATGTTCTGAGACTGACATAAAGCTTAGGTATATAGATCTACATTAGAGTTAACATATAAAACAAAGTACGAACGTGTTGTGTAGTTCCGTGCATCGGTTGAGAGATGAAAAGCTCGTAAAACAACAGTACATATCATAGAATATTGTCATGGTGAGAATCGCCGGGGTGTGAGCGTGGTTGTCGGGATGCCATGGATGAAAGGAGGGGTTGCTCGGATACCAGAGGTGTGGGTGTGGTTGTTAGGTGCGCCTACACGAACTATGTTTACATTTTAACATTAATATAACGAGTTAGCTTCGCGATAAACCGTTTTAAAATACAGTAGCTAATTAAGAAGTGCCACACACACGCACGCGGCCCCACCTGGAAATATAGTCCGCCAAACACAATTAACACATCCAGTTTTAAATGTCGTGTTCCTTAATCATGGACACACACACTGGTGACGTGTCGCGTCATGTCACCAGCCGTCTCACGTTTGACAACTAATTCCTGTACGCTCGCTCGCGCAGAGTACGTTGGCCCCAGCTAACACGCTAACGTGCTAACACGCTAACGTGCTAACACGCGGGACAGCTAGCACGGGGGGAAACTACTGTTGCCAAACGAGTTTCTCCCACATTAAGGCCAGGATCCGTGTACGCTATACTTCCTCATAAACCACGTGCTCGTCGCGACTACCTTCCCACGTTATCAATGCCTTTCTACAGCTCCACAGTTTCCATTACGCACAAGCATATTATATATCGATGACAAGAACAACAGATTTGGTAATTGTAGAAGCTTTAATGTAAAGTCCGCATCAATGTTAGCATTTTGTTGAACAACTGCTCAGTAACTGTTCACCAGGAACGACACGAATTTCATCGTTCCTGCTCTAGCCAATAACATCTATGTACAACAACTGTCAATGTTTAAAGACAAGCAACAATCAACACTCTGTGTGCATCTGTGAATTTACCACACACATGTTCAACCGGCAGGTGCACATAGATTGATGTCTCATGTTCGCGCTTGCACATTCACTAATCAAGCCGACATTCCAATTTTCGCTTAGTGTTCTGTTTTTGTTCTGTTCTTCCACAATTCTGTTCTGCTAGTACACATCACTTTATCTTGTCAGTCACGAGATCAGACGAGAACGTTTTTCCACTTGCACATCGCAAGTTCAACATGGTGTCTTACAAGAGCAGACTTGCCAATTCTATTTTGCCACACTTAGTAATAACTATCAGATGTCTGATAATATAATTAACAAAAATTGACAATATATTACATGACATGCAGCTAGTAGTAGTACTGAAGTGTTACACTCTAATCTCAACTTTAGTGACTCTGCCTACAAGAAAATGCATTTATATATTGTTAGATAAACGTTGTTGGTGCTTAGTTCAAGTTTTTCCTTTTATAGCTTTTGTAGCAATTGCTCGCTAGATCGTACTATTTAAAGAATGTCCGTAATGCCGTATTTATTGCACCTATCCAAGGACAGAATGCAGAACATAGACTATTCCATCGACAGGAAAATAAACAATCCGTGAGAGTTGGCAGGTCTGCAACCGCGTAAGCGAAAACTCCATGCAGAATCGAAAACCAATGTGCCCTCGGCTACAAGCTGATGCCATTGCCAATCTCCCATGCAGCCTCGGCTCACACACGGCCACCACTCTCCTCCCCATGCCACGCACGCCCCCACACACCATTCTCACCATATGCTGCCTCACTTCACACCCACCCAGGCAACGCCACCCTGCCAGCCAAGCACCTCCGCCCCCACCAAGGACAATAAGGGGTAGGATCGAGATCTGGTGTAGGCTGCACCCTCTATCTGGTGTTGGGGGCACCCTGTCTGGTGTATGTGGTACCCCCTGTTAGGTATAGGTGGTGCTCTCCATCTGGTATAAGCAAGTCACACTATCGGGTGAAAGTGGCTCTACCTATCAGGTGTAGGTGGCACCCTCTAGCAGGTGCAAGCGACGCCCTCTACCAAATAAAAGTGGCTCCACCTATCAGGTGTAGGTGGCTCCCTCTACTGAGTGTAGGTAACACCCTCTATCACATGTAGGTGGCTCCCTCTACTGAGTGTAGGTAACACCCTCTATCACATGTAGGTGGCTCCCTCTACTGAGTGTAGGTAACACCTTCTATCAGATGTAGGTGGCTCCCTCTATCGAGTGTAGGTGGCTCCCTCTATCAGATGTAGGTGGCTCCCTCGATCGAGTGTAGGAGGCGCCCTCTATCAGATGTATGCGGAGCCCTCTACCAAGTGTAGGAGGCGCCCTCTACCGGGTGTAGGCAGCGCCCTCTACCGGGTGTAGGAGGCGCCCTCTACCGGGTGTAGGTGGCGTCGATCTGGACGACGGAGGGCAGTGCGAGCTGGATCTTCTTGCGGTACATGGTGTCGTGCTGCAGCGGGTTGCCCTCCAGGTAGACCGTCTGTAGATTCTTGGCGTTTGCTAGCTGCGCGACGTCTGCCCAGTTGTCAATCGCATTGTTGTTGAACTGTGGAGCGAAACCACGGGCAGCGCAGCGTGAAAGCGTGAAAACGACATCGCGGCAAAAAATTCATCTGAGCAGCCGGACATGGCCAGTGGCGGTCCCAGAAGTTAATTCTAGGGGGGGGAGGGTGCATCATGCGAGCTCAAGGGCACGAAGCGCCCGAGGGGGGAGGTTGTTAGGCTAAAATACCCTTGCCCTGAAAAGGATCCACCGATGGGGTCAGTGTCAGAAACAAAATTGCTCGTAACGTTGGTCTTAACATTTAGACTTTTTTCTGGTAGACTATTGGCAGAATTACGTTTCGTAAATTTTTTGTTCGTGAAATTTGCTAGGATTTTTCGTTCTCGTAACTTTATGCTTCTGTTACTGGTTAAAAAACTAAACAGACGACGTTAAGACTAATTTTGTTTCTGACAACAGCTGTCTGGATCACTACCACATATGGGTCATTGTTCCACTGCGGTAGCCTAGAGTGCTTCACTGAAAACAATCGGCACCTCATGGCAAGGTATAGTTAGTAATGGACTCGTCACTGGAAAGAATTACTTCAGGCAGGGTGCAAAGGTGGTTCCATCTAGTGAGTAGTATTACTAACGTGGCTGTAACGAACGTGGTGTGTGTACACTCTGACTACGTTTCATCACATTTTTTGTATTTGTGCTTTCTACATATTTACTAATGCCGTTAAGTTTTCTATATTATTTACATTTGCCAGTAAACATCTGGAGGCAGAGGAAGCAATGCTAATGGTATGCAACAGCAAACGTTCTCACAGAGTACTCGTGTATCACGCAGATTTACTTACTAATCTTGCTGTAAACCTACCCAGAATTCCTCCAACTCCAGCAGATGGCTAACGTTCTCTATCTTTCGAACGCGGTTAGAAGCGACGTCCAGTGTGTTCAACTTGACCTGCGTGACAAGTCAAAGCTTTACAGACATGCGCAAGCAGATCTCATAGAAAATCAACGGATCTAAGCCCCGAGTGAGCAAACCGCTAATGGTATTAAAGGAATACTTGGCTCTATGTTCTAGGGTTATTTTCAGTTGATTTAGGTTAAAATTACGCTACATGAAAAATGTAATGGTTCAACCACCATTCGAAATATTTTTTTTTTAAATGTTTTTAAACTAACGACTACAGTTTGATTACAACGACGGTGGTGCCATTCAAAGCGCACTATCTGAAAAGTTGCGCAAATGGACTTTTCAGCCAAGGGCTACAGACCAAAGGTGTTTCTTATTTATTAATTTAAGAGCAAAGGGATTGCAATATTTTATGAACGACATATAGTTTCAGTTAAAATAATTATGGATAAATTTGTCATAAAATGAATACCGTTAGGTTAAATAGCATTTAAGTATAAATATAATTGCACTTTTGTGATTAGCCCTTGGTCTGTAACGTGCAAAATAAATTGGAAAATGCACAACGTTTTCAGGGTGGCAGCACGATCGCGGGTGTCATGTCAGTGCCCAAAATCCAGTGACCAAAGTTTTATGACAAACGTGAATGCGTAATTATAGATATTTGTATTTGTATGTGCTATTATTTATGAATCTACTGTCATAATAATTATGCTCTCAAATTCTAGAGTAGAGTATCTCTTTAAGGATTCAGCCAGACACAGTGGTCAGCTGAAAACCTTGATCTGAATCTTACTAATTCAAATGTGGTGAATTTCAATATTGCATTGCATGTCCACACAAGATACAAGCTGGCTTAACCTGGCTGATAGGTACCATAAATACATAATAAATCAATGGCCATTAGAATCGTATTCACTCTAATTTTTCCTAGCAGCACTCACGTTGTTGTCGAGTCCTTCCACCTTCTCCACACCGTTGTGACTGAGGTAGAGCTGCTCTAGTTTGACAAGTGTCTGAAGACCTTCCATCTTCACAATCCTGTTACTCTACAACACAGTAAGGTACAGCTTAATCATCTGTCACGAACATGCGATACATCCAGCGAAAGATAACAGCAAAGGTTATGCAGTATGGAAGCGGCAAGCCCTGAAACGACATACAACTTTTTGAGTTTCCGAGTTTTCGAGTTTCTGAATTTCGTATCGTATATCGTACTAGAGATGGAGGTCAAGCAATGGTCACACAGGGAAGAATGTAAACACGTGAGAACACGCATTTAGAAACGTTTTTAAGTCGAAAACAGACATACTGCGCATGCATTATGACGGAGATTCTAAATTTAAATTAGGCCCTATGCTTTCCCGCTTAATAGAACACACATTCTAACGAACACACTACTCTCACGGTAGGGGATTCTAAATTTAAATTATGCTATCCTGCTAAAAAAGGCACACATTTACTCTCATAGTAGGGGATTCTAAATTTAAATTGTTCTTTCCCGCTTAAAACAACACACATTTACTCTCACAGTAGGGGATTCTAAATTCAAATTGTATTTTTCCGCTAAATAACACACAACTAATCTCATGGTAGGCGATTCTAAATTTAAACCGACTTTAATGTCACGGAATAACGCATGCGCATTGTGTTCATTTTTGGACTTCAAACATTTTCTACAACTCTCTCAACACTTTATATATATTGATCGGAAATTCAGAAACTCGGAAACTCAAAAAGTCGCATGTCGTCTCAGGTCTTCCATAATAAAGTGTTCTTACTTTGAACAGATACAACGTACAAAGCAACGTGGATTTTAAAAATAACCCATCTTTGCATTTTTGCTGCTGTGTATTTCCGTCTGTAGCTATCCGAGAGAAAAACAACGATAGATGGTTGAAGTAAGTATAGAAATTGTACACTGATGCAATGTACTGTGTAGACAAAGATTGCAGACTTTTCCATTTCACATTAGTCCTACATAATCAGTCTAATCATCTTATTTAGATTTATCATGTGGCCATATACTTAGTGTTTGCATAAGTAACATAAACAGTTTACAATCAGCAGTTCGTGGTAACCATGGGTTTTTCTCCATACTGTATTCACCCGATCGCAGTGATGTATCCACTGAGTTTGTTTTACCTGCATGCTAAGAACACGAAGGTTGACCAGTTTTTCCAAGTTCTCTAACTTTGTGATCTTGTTTTTCCCCAAGTAGAGCTGCTCCAACTTTGTCAGTGAGTCGAGACCCTCGATTTTCTGCATAAAAAGTAAAAAATTATTTGGTCAACATCTATAATACATGCCACCACCCACAGCTAATTATCTGGTACATGGAAAAAAAACCTGAACAAATTTTGAGGGGAGATCCCATCTGTTTCTTACTACATTACTTATATGCAAGCATGGGCACCACCTGCCTATTTATACAATAGCTACATGCAGCCAGACGCATTAATCTTTTTGCCAATATCGACAATATAACATCCGCCTAAATAATCATAATAAAACGTGTTTCAAACTGGATTCCAGTGGCAGTAAAATATCCGTTCACTATTTATGTCAATACTCATTTTCACGAACCGCTAAGCAAGCTATATTTGTCATGGTGAGCGACGAATCGTCGACTTAGCGATTCATCGTTGGAACAGCTGACGTCAGGTGTGGTTGACATACGCGTATTCTGTTCGAGCCCAGCTCCAGCATGACAAGGCTGCTCATGCTGCTCAGGCTTTCTATCCTCGGTATGCGGTTGTTGATGAGAAAGAGGCGTTCAATCGCAGCGAGGCTCGCAACATTCTCGATCGCAGCAATCCGGTTGAACGAGAGATCCAGGTGTCTGAAAGCAGCCGAAACGCCATCATCCTACTGCCATACAGGGTGTACCGACAACTACGACGATCGATGTGTATATTTATTACAGCACGCGCGTATGTTCCCGTGTGTATGTAGGTGTTTGCGCTTGAAAGTCAGTACGTATGCACACCTGTTGGCATATCTGAATGCAATCTCAGTCCCGGCATATCTACCTACATAAATCATGGCCATAGAATGGCAACAACACACTACTCACACCAAGTTAGTCAACTGATCCAGATTCTCAATTTTTGTGAGCAGGTTGTCGTAGAGGTCTAGTTCCTTGAGCGTGGTTAGCATATGCAGATTCTCAATCTTACTAATCAGGTTCTGTCTCAAGCACATCGTCTGTGAGGTAAACGAACACAGCGGTCACTTCCGCACACAACGTGGTTCTGTATTAGGATTCATTACATGGCTACAGAGATATATAGTAATGAGAACATAGCACTCTTACTTGCCGATATTGTCAGCCACAATCCCTTGCCCATCGCACAACTCTAGTCAAATCTATTATCACTTTTTTTTAATAATAAAAATAAGGCAATTGTTAGTCATATTGCTTACTGCTACACTTACCTCTACACATGTCAAATGCTCCAAATGCTCTATCTTAGCAATTCTGCCATGATTCAAATCAACATCCTGCAAAGACGTGTCCAAAGTGGCACATGCATTTGTTACATAGTTGATTCATCAGGCTAGAAATTTAAGCAAGAGATCGGAGTAACTGTGCACGGCTTTTAAAAAGAGGCATAAATTAAGGAGAAATGCTATTACAATAATCTGCAATATTAGGAAGGAATATTTATTAGCAAATAGTAGTAGTGAATTATTATTTATACATCTGCATGTTTCTATACACTGAGATACTATCTTTTCAAGAATTTTTTCAAAGATTCTCAGTTTTCTATTAAAACTTTCTATCCAACTAACAACTTACCAAAGCTTCCCCTGGAATGTCCACAATCTCGGCTACCTCTCCTGCATTGGCTCTAGTATCATCAACTCCTGCAAGCCAAAAGCCATGAGATATCAACTTCTTCCACAGAAAATACAAGTTGAGAAAATAGAAAAGTTAAACATCTACACAGAAATCAATATAGACACACACACCATACAATAACACACTATGATCTCTAACTGGCATGCAACAAGAGCAGGATGAAGGGGTTCCAATCCTTCACCAAACCAAATTTTTACACAAAGTTATTAATAATCTGATAAGGTATAAAGGCCTGCAGTTCGGCTACAATAGCTACTAGCTCATAAAGGCACACTGACATATATATATGTGTATCAGGGTTCTCCAAGAGCACTTGTACCGCCAGGCTATCGTCGAGCCCCGCCATCCTAAAATGCACCCGCCACTCTAAATATCATAGCCGCCATGCTAAATATCATAGCCCCCGGACCCCCCTAGCTCGCAAATCGCCTTCGGCGATTTGCAACTAGGACCGTAAAGGCAGCACCCGCCATGTTATAATGAAAAAGCTTGGAGAACCCTGTATATATGTATATATTATATATCATGATGTATATTTTACCTTCTTCTTCCACTTCATCCTCAGATCTGAGTGGTGACAGGCTCTCCTTTACTTCTGTAGCAAAACAAATAAACATAACCATTACTTATCATCCCAGTATTAATTTGCCATCCAGAACGATTACACTCTATATACTTGATGGATTGGGCCACGCCTATACGCCTGCAAGTTACTGACATGTTAATTTTCTAGGTACATGTGTAACAGAAGTAGATAATAGGGAACCCCTATCTCTATCCCCCTCCCTATTATCTACTTCTGT